TTATAAACAATCAATAATTGGTATTATATTTTTTATTATTTATATTGATGATATTGTGATTACAGGAGGCGATTATGCAGGAATATTTTCTCTCAAATCATTCTTGCATACCAAGTTCAATGCCAAAGACTTGGGATAGTTAAAATAATTTTGGGGGGTTGAAGTAATAAGAAGTAAGGAAGAGATTTTGTTAATTTGGAAAAAGTATGTACTTGATCTACTTGCAGAAATAGGAAAGTCGGGAGCTAAGTCATGCAATACACCAATGGTACCAAATATGCATCTTACAAAAGATGATGATGATCTCCTTGATAATTTAGAGAAATACAAAATATTAGTTGGGAAATTAAATTACCTCACTGTGATTCGTCCAAATATTGCATACCTGTCAGTATTGTTAGTCAGTTTATGTCGGTACTTTTAGTCAAACATTGAGAAACTTTGAAACAGATTTTGTACTACTTAAAAGGTGTTCCAGGACTCAACATAGTGTTTAGAAATTATGGGCATACTTACGTTGAATGTTTTACGGATGCTGATTGGGTTGGATATAAGATTAATAGGAGATCTACTACGAGGTATTGTGTTTTTGTTAGTGGGAATCTCATATCATGGAAAAATAAGAAACAAACAGTTGTATTTTGTTCAAGCGTATAGTCCCAATGTAGAGCTATAGCTTAGTCCACATGCGAAGTTTTATACATACATCATATGTTAGATGAAGTGGGTTTGAAGCCTATAACTCTTGCAAAATTTTGATGCGATTATACGACTTTTTTCATATTGACTCAAATCCTGTGTATCATCAGAGAACAAAAAATATCGAGATTGATTGTCACTTCATCCGAGAGAAGATTTAGAAAAACTTTATATCTACTGGTTATGCGAAAATAAGAGAATAATTTGATAATATATTCACAAAATCTCTAAATGGAATACGGATTGAGTATCTTTGGAACAAGATGGACATGATTAATATTTATACTTCAGTTTGAGATGGAGTTTTAGAATATTATAGAATATTTCTTATACATAATAGTATGATTATCTTTCCAAATATGTAAGTGTAATTAGGAAGAAAATAATTAGGGTAATTTATGTTGGTTACTATGTATGAATCCGTTTACATGTATATATGTATCTTGATTTTCATTTCAATAAAGATACAAAAATCATTCAGTATTTTTCTTCCCTAACCCTTTACAGTTATATATGAAAAAAGTTGGAAACAGGGTAGAACGAATTCTGCGGGGATCCTTATCTGAATTACGAATTTGTGAAATTTTTACTGTTTTCTGTTTTCTGTTTTCTCATGCTTTTCTCCTTTGTTTCTTTCAGTTTGAATTTTAGTGTGTAATTCTTTTCCTTCCCGCACCCACCAATAATATTCTTTGATTTGTTTCTTGAATGTCCTTAAATGAAAAGTTAGCTTGCTTGTTTGATTCCATATGATG